TCTTTCACAAGTCTTATTTATTAAGGGCTCTTACACTATCTGGCACTGATTTAGGCACTCACTGATGGCTCTTCATCTGAGTCTTAACGTAGCAATACAAAGAGCTATTCAGCTCCTTGTTACACCCAAACCCCTTGCCAGTAAGCTGCATCTTGACTACACTATGTACTTTTCAACAGATGGAGTTGGGGATTCCTGTGAAATCGTGAAAGCAAAAGCTAGATGCACTGCAGGACTGAGCTGCGGGAGAATAACAGATCAACACACATCCAAAGAGCAATGAACCACACAGGTCAGGTTAGGATAAGTTTTAAAAAATCAGAAGTAAAAACTTCCGGATTCATTAAGAGAATTTGAGTTTGCCATTAGTAAAGAGTTTCAGAAATGGTACTATTTTACAAAGAAAAAACATTGAAATAGAGCAACATGGACCAAAATATATTAAAAGCACATCACTTCACTATTAATTCAAACAGTCTAAGCTGTTCTAGGTATTTCCAAACCTTTCATGTTTTAATCGGCTTAATAATCTTCCCAGGCAGATATCTACAAGTCACATCCATTTAGTCTTGTATTGATTTTTCCAATATGCTTCCTACTACTATAACTACCCTAATCAATTAACTTCTTGTAAGTAGCAAGGCAATTTTTCTTCTTTCGACTTTCCAATGAAAGCCTGAATACTTTATTTCCACGAAAATATCTGATGTTTCCTCTTATTTATCAAGAACTGTAACGGTGGTAAATATGTTTGGTGCCTTTCACTTAAAAAAAAAAAAAGAAGATTCTGCACTGAGAAAGCCTACAGAATTACCTTGGACCTAGTCAATATCATGAGTAGCTTATCCATTTGTAGTTGTGTTGATAAAAGTTCTCTTTGGCTCTCAGAAAAGTGCCTTTCCCTTGGCCTCCATCACAGGGAACTGGGAGGCTGACAGTCACTCACAGACTACACTCACTGGGAAGAAGAAAACAGCCCTGCCTCCTGGTGTGCAAAAAATGCAAGGCCACCAGCCAGCTATTTGTAACTTCTTTAGTTAGAATTGGACTGTCTATCCCAATAAATAAATTCACTTGTAGAAAAGTGTGAAGATTCTGGCTCAGGGGGAGGAGGGAAGGTAATCTTAATCTGAACCTACACACTTTTTCTTAGGCACAGCCCTGGAAACAAGAGAAACAACAAGATTCAGGAAAGACCTTGGTCTCTGGAGCCAGACAACCTGGGCTCAAGCCTTGATATACCAAGTCGAAAAAAGCTGAGTGTTTGAAGTCCCTGAAGTTTCATTTCCTGTTCTACAAAATGGGATCAATATAATTACCTTGAGGGTAGTTTGGGGTTTCTCTAGATCTAACCCCTCCCTCCTTTGATCCAAGTACTTCCTTCTACCCAAAAGGTCTTTCCAAAGCAGAGAAGTGACCAGGTCATTTTTCTGTCACAAACCTACCCATGTCTGGAGAACACAGGTCAAACCATATAGCCTGCCATCCCCCATCCCATAGAGTCTGATCTCCGACAGAGTTTTCTGGATCATCTCTGGTCATTTGCTTCAATTCATTCCTCATTCTAGCCACATCAAAACAGATTTATCACATACTTTCAAGCCCCTACAGCTGTGTGTTTGTTCAAAGCACCTCCCTTAAGTTTCCCTGTCCAAAATGCTCTGTCCACATAACAGCCTCTTGCTGTCCCTCAAGGCCAAGTATATCTCCACAATCACCACCTTTCCAATGGTGCCTGGAACTTCTCCCAAAAGAAACAAAGATTAATTTTCACCAGGTGTTTGTTTGTTTGGCTTCCAGCATAATAAAATACTGTATTTGGCATCTAACATGGAATTATCTAGATGCTATTTAACCACACAGTGAAGTGACTTAAAAAAATGCAATCTGTGTATTTACATCTGAGCCCTTAAAGCAAAATACGTTATTATTCAGATTCCCAAAGTCAATTAATTTAAGCCCTCACAGTCCAGTCAGTTACTGAATTGTGAAGAAACCAGCACAAATGCAGAAAAATATGCCACCTGAAAAATGAGCTTATCCACATCAATTACTTTGATCATTGCTATCACCTGCTAGGTACAAGATGTATCATTTCTAATATAATGTTTAAAATTGTTATAAACGAATAGACTGAAATTCAAATAAGGAAGTAATTTGTCTGAGTATTTGATATGTGGCAGGGTTGTCATCCAAACCCAGGTCTGTCAGCCTCTAAAGCTCATTTTATTTCCACCCTTCCACACCGTTTCTCCATTGGCCTTGTACTATGATCACAGGTGGATCTTACAGCAATGGTCTGCATGTCTTTACCCAAGGTATCAGGTGCTCTTTCTAGCCACTCACTCAAAATACTCTTTTGCTTGAGGAAAAGAGGCTTGTCGTGTGTAGAAAGAAAGGTTATATAGCCACCTTAAAAGGAAAAGAGATGGGACCTCTTCAGAACACAGTAACATCCCATTAATAACACGCAACATTAAAGTAAAGTGTCTTCTCTGGCACTAGACCCATTGGTAGCCTTTCTTATTTTTGGTTCATCTCCCTAAAATATTCTTTTGCTTTTGACTAAATAAAAGTAACATATTATAGCAGAATTATGACATGATATAAATTATCCCTGAGTTATTAATAATATTCTCACCTCTTAATTTCTCTAGCTTAATTGGAAGGGGTTTATTATTACTGTGGTGTTGGTGATCTTGGTGATGGTAGCAGTTGTGCTTGGCAACCCAGAAGTGTGTACACATCTTTACTTTACACATTTTATGGTTTTATGTTAATCTCAGAAAAAAAGGTTATTTGTGCTGTGCATGAAACATATATGAATACATAATATTTCTCACATAGTAGATGCAAAGTAAAACAGTCTTGATTAGAAAAGTCAGAAAATGTTACTTAAGTATACTACTAAATATGAAACCTACATGCTACAATGAAATATTTTTTAGTACATATTGTATTTCTATTCAGAATTATGTTTTTAGATACAGATGTAGACATAGACACAGATAACAGATGTAGATATACAGCATTTAAAAAGTCGATTTGAACTGGAGAAAAATTGTGTTTAAAGGTTAGCAACTTGTCAAATTTACTCCCAGGAAGAGCTCCCTTCTTTCAAGTGATTCTCCAATTGGCAACGAGGAGAAATCAACCGTGAGACACTTCTGGGGAGTAGAGATAAGACAGTTCCCTAGGTGCCAACAGCACAAGTCCCTGCAGGTGGGGGCATCATTTCTCTTTCTAACACAACCACAGAGGTTAATCTTACTATAGTTCCTGTCATGCTGATGATACTCAGCATTTAAAGAAGTCTGATAGTGGCCATGGCTACTGGGGAAGTTACCCCAAATGTCCAAGTTATCAGTTTCTCCTACAATGACTTATCACATTACTATTATAAGACTATTTATAAAAGGTACTGAGTCTATCCATGAGGTGGTTTTCCCAGTTTCTTGGAAGTAATATAAGTTCTCCATTCCTTCATGTAGCTGAAGGCTTAGCCTACCCTTTCTGCAAAAAGAAGACATGTGTTAAGTAGGGAAAACAATTATAAAAGGTAAGGTTACCAATCTCTGTTTAAGTAACATTATTTGTGGCAACCAATTTTCTTTCCAAAGTCTAAAACACTTTATACACAGCTGGTAATAGAGCAGAATTCGGACTGATTCTACATGGGGTACACATTTTCAAACGTCTTACACTGTGCCCTCTCCCAGTCCATACTAATATCTCTATCTCTATTAACTAAAAAAAAAGGTATTGCTCAAGATAAGATAGGAGCAAGGCTGACTCATCAGGAGCAAGTCAGGGAACCTGCACCAGGGAAACCTATGCAGAGAAAAGGGATCAGTGTGTCTTAGTCCAGACCCAAAACCCAAACTGTGAACTTAATTTGCTTAAGCTATCCTGTTACCTGGAGAAATGGCCCATTTGTAGAGGGTCATCAACTATCAATTTAAGTGTCTTTAGACACAGTCAGAAATTACTATGGACCTAAGATTAGATAATTTTGGCTATTTTACTCCAAAAATGTCTAACATCCTGGCCTAACAAATGACAATGATACATTTGGTTATTTTAAACTAAGTGATATTTTCAGTGGTAAAATTTATAAAAATTATTGACTTACAAACTTCTAATATGCATACTGAACATACAGAGAATGAGTACCAAGTAACATCATTCAAGAGTCAATTTGCAAATCTTTTTAAGAATTTAAAATTTTTTCTAAAGCTTTTCTATATAAAGTAGTGTGAATCAAATAGAGAGAGAGAGCAAAAGAGGGACATCTTAAAGTTAAAAGGAAATTGTCATCAGTAGGTTTATGACGTGCCACTAAAGAATAAATGATCTTCCACTTTATAATTCCCAACCAGTAAACATCACTCACTAGAAGATGCACCATTCCTATAGAAATTTCGTGTAACAGTCTTTCCACCAAAAAAAAAAAAAGATAAAAACCACAATTAAATCTAGAGAAATAATTCAAAATGATGATTCCATATCATAGATACCTAAAACATATTGACTGATTCTCTTCCCAGCAGTGTTTTGGGCAACATGAAGATATTGCTGAGCATATCCCAATTCCACCAGGTTCAATGGACTAATGAAGCAAATAGTTAGCTAATTAACCAATATATATACAGAAAAGGGAAGAGAACCAAAAGAGTCACAGCTAAATAGCTAATCATTAAAATCCAAAAGATTTTGCTTCTTCTGATTACAAGAAAAAAATCTCAGGTCAGCACCCATATTTCTGTTTAGACATGGTGAGGGCTATGCCAAGCATCACAAGACTCCATTATTATTAAAAGGCCCATATCTTTCATCTTTTCTTCTATAATCCTTTGTCCAGTTAGTGTTTCAATGTTTGTGCTTGAAAACTATCTAAACATTTTGTTTTTACTATTCTTTAAGAAGGATATATTGTCACTGTTAGATAAGAGAAGTCAAGCATGGGAGACTGAAAAACCGGGTAACTTGTAAATCTTTACCTGAAGGCCTTCAATAGCCAATCGCAGCATGCTTGGCGTAAGTTTAGAGGCTTGCTTGAAGGTGAAGTTACTCCAGTCTATGATCAAAACAAATCCATTTACCTGAAGTTCAGGATCTTCAATCATGGCTTCTAAAGAAAGTAAGATGGCACGCAAAATATCCACCAGCGTGTACCTATCAGCAATAGAAAATATTGCATTAAGTCTGACAACCATTTTTGAACAAACTATAGAAAGTTTCTAGCGCATAAAAAATTCCCTTTAAAATATCCCAGGAATTTTAAAGTAGATCACTGTATTTAAAAATCTTCTATAAGAGGAAATTAATTTAGCGCATTCAAGGGAGATAATTAAATTTAACACATGTTCTACCAAAACAAACTACAATGCTTTTGAAAATACTACAGTTTTGTTTATATTTTACAACCATATCCTTTAACTCCAAGCCTTCCTCCTATCTTCTAAAATCTCATTTCCACTACCCTAAAAACTAGGCATGGGGGACCTTTAAACAGCTCAAGAATGCTCTTGGTAATACTGACATTTTGTATCTTCACACTTGGAAAATCTGAGAATGGGATTTGAAGGAGTTTCATCAATAAAAAAGAACAGTATGTGAGCAGCTATGGCTAGAAGTGTCAACAAATTTTAATTACTTGTATTGAGTTTATGTCACAAAGAAGGAAAGGTGGGACAGACAGAAAAGGAGATTAATGAAAACAAAAGGGAAAATTTACCTGTCTATTATAATGCTGGCCATCCGTATTTAGGGGTTCAAGCTTTAGTTTTTTCTGCTGTGCACCTTAGCACAATTCTTGGCGCACTGCAGAAACCCAATGGATGTTCTTTGAGTTCCTGTAAAATGTAACTAGAGAGCAAAGACACAAGTTGTAACTTAAGGCACTGCCTTGGGGAAGGCAGTGGAGGAAAGAACAAAGAAAAGGAGCCATATTTGAAAAGTATTTTAGAGGTGAACTTGTTAAAGTTTGACACTTAATTAGGTATGGGGACTGAGTTTGAGGGAAGAGTAAAAGGGTACACACAGATCCTAGCTTCAGAGCCTGAGTCAAAGGTAAATTCTATAATCAGAATCCATCATGCAAAAAGAGGGTACAGCAGAGGATGGACGGAAATGTAGAGTATGAAATTGAACCCACTGTATTTGAGAAACACACAGTACACCCAGAAAGATATGTCAAGTAGACATGTGAAAAAGTAGATCCTAAACTCAGAATAGCTCAAGGTTGAAAATTCCAGAATTAAAAGTATACACATCCTAAATTCAAGGAAGTGAAGGAGATAATGCAGTCGGAGCTGGGAGGAAAATCAGATAATTATCCTAAAAAGGGAATCCCAGCATTTTAAGAGGAATCAGCGAATTTACGGACGATGTAAAATTTCAGTGTTTGAATAACCTGCTTTTCACGTTTTTTTTCCTCCTCAGACATTCAGGAGGAAATGTCCAGGAAAAACTAGAGAAAGAACCTTGACCTTAGGGAAGAGGCGGGAGGGGAGCATGGTGGATTAGGATTGGAAATCCCTGTCATTTAATGGAAGTAATGGGCTCACCAGGAAGACGGTATGAGACAGTGAGTACAGATGAGGGAGTGGTTAGCTTTTTACTTCTAACATTTGGATGTGAATGGTGAGGGCGGAGTAGTTCAGAAAGGAAGGAAAAATGAACAGTGAAATTTCAGGCAATTTCTCACTCTCTGACCCTTATTTCCTCATTTATAAAATCAGTAATTTGGAATCTCTTTAGGACCCCAGCAGTCATCAAGCAAAGGGCATGTATCAGAAGCCTTCAAGTTGGAATCTCTTCCCTGTTCCTCATTAGCTGTGTGGCCCTAGACATGTCATTGATTTATAATTCTGAGACTCAGTTCTCTTATGAGAAAAAATGGAAGTACCAGTGATTATCTCACTGTATCTCACTGGCAGTGGCAGAGTTGGGGCAAAGACTTCTCACCTGATCCAGGTGAAAGCATTTCCACAATGCTAGGTATACAGCAGGCTTTCAGTAAATGTTGGTTGGAATACAGGCATAGCATACTTCTTATTGCAACAGTAATCACAGCCATAGGGTACTAGGTAGGGTATAACAGAAACTGAAGATTATTTGTTCATATATTTTACTTAAAAATTAGTGATGATCTTTGGATAGCTTATTCCTATTGTAAAGGCAAGAATCAAGAGATTATTTTTAAATCTTTGGAAAGTATACAGGCTATTTTTAGGCCTAAGGACAGAGCATCCTCAAATACTTCCTGAATAAATGATAATAAAACATTTTTGTAAAGCTGTATCATTTATTTGTCTTTAAATCTGTTAAATACATATGGCTGAATACCTTATCTGTCACATCACGGCTGGCCTATCTCCTTCTCAAATGTAATACAGTGTAATGACCAAAAGCCTATAAACCTGCACAGACTAGAGAGTTGGAGTAGGAAGGCTATATTTCTGGTTATAATTTAGACTCCCCATCTCTAAAAAAATATTCATTTTTACTTCTGAAATTCATAACAATATTATGGTAAAGAAAATTAAAAATTAGAAAAGTCCAACTTAGAACGTTCCCCCCATAGGATCACTCTTCTGTTACCTATACAAACAGCAAATAGCACTGATAACAAAATAACCAGTAAAATTGGAATCTGAAATAAGCTTTGGAAGGATGATGCATTGTATGTAATATGAATAAACCTCGGCACCAGTAAGAACTGAAACCAAGAGGCAATTTGTTTTTAAGTCACACACTCTAAGTGTGGTTTTCCAAAACTGCATCCAAATCATATACAAATCATTATTCCAAAGGAATTAAAATAAGATAAATCCTGGGATCAGCAATGAAGAAAAGCAGCTTTGAAAAAGTTTTCAAGAGTCATCTAATCAAGTTTTTCAATTTAATATCTTGCTCTTAAAAGAGAATTAAATGACCTTTATATAAATCATGTTAATCTGTAAATTTCAGAAGAGAAGAATTAAAACATCCTAGCTAACTGCATTCAGAGGGCAGGTCAAAACCACCCTTGCCATTCCAGTCATCTGTTGCCAAACATGTCACATTAGCACCATTAGCAGTTCAGCAGGCTCTTCTGAAGTAGGACATTATTAGATGAGATCTTGCCAAACTCTATAAAATATCTTCCAAAGAATTGAAGGACTTTATGAATTTTATATTTTCAGGAATCCTACCTTCACTTTTCTCTTTGAAATTATTTTTAACTGTGATTCCTTACAAGTTAAGGTCGCTCTAATAAGTATTTCACATATTCATGTATTCCACAATTGTAGGAGCCCCACCATTGCTAGTCTTCCCTTGCAGGTTGGAAGAAGGCCATAAATAACAAATTAGCACATTAATGCAGCTCATGACTCCTGATTTGCTTTCCAAAATAGCATTAAGTAAAGCCTGAATCTGAAATCAGTTTGGAGAGCACGATGAATAGCATGTAGTAGTGAGAAGAAATAATAACACCAGTAAGGAATTTTACAAGTGGGACACCAGACTGTTGAAACCATTGCTCTTGAAAGAAATTAAAGCTGCTATGATAATGTGAAAACTATATGGAGAAGAGTTTGACACCTGTATCTTACTACCTTTACAATCAAGAGTGATGGAGCTGCTTCTCCTGCCTCTGACCATGTAAGGCTTTTGGAGGCCACCTGGCCTGTGCTTCTCTCCTGAGGTTCACAGCACTTCATCCTGCACCACAACCTACAATCAGCAGAAAGCTTAAATCACAGACAGGTTGTTTCCTTCTTAGTCTTCAAACCCCTTTTGCAGCCTTACAGGGAAGCACTGGCATCTTGGCATCACACTGAGCAGCCGAATAGCAAGCGATTGCCCTTTGTCACTAAATCAATCAGCCATTATTAAATTCTTCGTTAAGGCTGTCCCTGCCCATGTTTTCTAAGGCACGTTTCTACTCAAGCACTTCCTTTTAGGAAGATGCTAGGAGGAGATACACAGGTGGAGAATTACTTTTATTAGTGCCTCGGAGTATCATTAAAGCTAAAGTTGGGTGCTGAAACCACCCAGTGTTTCATTTTACTGAGTGGTAGTAATAACAATAACTGTCTGTGTGATGATCCCAGATTTCCAAAGCAATTCCAAACGCCTTATCTCAATCTCAAAACAAGCCCACATTTTCTGTGTTGGTTTTATACCTATTATTTTGGAGATGAGGACACAGATAACGTTTAGGGATGAAGACACAGGGTCTCAGAGAATTGAAACAGTTTGCCCAGAATCACTGTAATTGTAAAGCAGGAAACCTAGCTGAGAAACCAGGTCTTTCTGACCTCACAGTTCTCTCCACTTCCTATGGTGGCTCAGACCTAAAAAAGAGTTTGGTGAGTAGCTATTCTGCTTGTTTCATGTCTCAGTGGTGTAATGTAGTTAGAATACAAACCAATAAGTCAGCACTAATATGGTGCAATGCTAGGTAGGCAGTCACACACTCCAGCCTGGCTCCAGCAGAGGATTTGGAGGAAGAAAAGCAACAAGGCATTTATAAGAGTAGGGATGGAAAGAGGTGAAATCTTCAAAGCCTGGAGGACATAGGAACTCTGAAGTGGTCATCTGTCTGGCTTGTATCACTGAGCACAGATTAGGTATCTGAGCCTTGCTTTAAATTTGCTGCTGTGGGGATGTAGGTGAATGAGAAAAAGAGAATCACTGGAAATGAAACATCTGGAGGAAAGTGTTTTTCTTTGAAGAAAAAACAAACAAAAAATGCACCTACTGCCAATAAAATAAACAACACAAAATAAAACAGATGTGCTGGAAAAAAACACAAACACATCAAAAAGTCAACTTTTCTTTTCAGGACAGAATACTCTAAGCAAGTATCTGCTTAGTACAGTATTGTCTTCAGATTTATTCTCTCAACTTGACTTTTTGTTCCTAATTGTCTATATTCTGATGTTTGGTCAAGATGTTCTAAACCATAGGTAAGATTTTTTTAGTTATAAAAGCTTGATTATTAATATAATTATATGTAATTGCTTTTCCCTAGATTTATGTTGGCAACTGTGCACAGAGAAGAAAGTCTGACCAATTCATTACTAGTTGTGCTTTTGTGGGTAAGTGAAATACTTAACCACTCTGTGCTTTATTTTCCTCATGCCTAAAAGTGGATATTAACAGGAACTGGTTGTATGATTATG